GTGTGTGTGTGTGTGTGTGTGTGTGTGTGTATATATATATATATATATACATGCTTGCTTAATGAGTATTTCAGATAAATCATCATAGAAGAGAGAACCCTTAATGTGATATAGCTTTTCTGATGCTGCAACTAAAAGAACCCGACATGAACAACTGTAGAAAAGAATAAGACTCAATGCATAGAAGGCTGGCTCTACTCCTTGGGGCTCGGGATGAGGCAGAACATCATGGCAGAAGAGTGTGGCAGAGGGAAGCAGCTCACATCATGATCAGTAAGCCTAGAGAGACTCCCCTTGCCATGTTCAAATATATACCCCAAAGTCACAACCCCATTTCCCTCCTCCTTCACCCTACCACTTCAGTTATCACTCAATTAATCCCTATCAGGGGATTAATTCACCAATTGGGTTATAACTCTCACAATCCAGTAATTTCTCCTCTGAACCTTCTTGCAGTGTCTCACACCCTAATCCCAACCCTAACCCTGAACCTAAACCTAATTCTAATTCTAACCCTAACCATAACAGATGTCATGCCTGGGTTCCTGGAAAAAGGTTCCTGTTATCAAGATCTTATATGCTGAGGTTGTGGGTAACAACAAAGGTGCTTTATAGCCTAGAAAAGGTGAGTTGTATCCCTTTGGAGATAGAAGCACCATGCATCTTCAAAGCTGCAGGAATAGTCACTGAACTAAATAGTTTATCCAAATCTATCGTACAGTATATTTATTAGTGATAGAACAGATGTAGCCAGCAATTTTAATAATACTGAATTTTAGTTAGGAAGTCTTTGATAGATGGAAACAAAGCATTAAGTCGTAGTAAAGCATCATGAAGCACCTTTTATTTCCTTTACTTATGTATTTATTTGTTTCGTCTTTAAAAGAGATGAACTTGGTTAGTCAAATGTAGAACCAGCTGATATAATCTACTCCTTATTAATTAAGCTTTGTATAATTAATTTTTTACTCAAAAGCCCTGCTTTGACTTCATACAAGTAGGAAAATTGAACTATTTGATATGAATGTTGGGGATATAGTTCAGTTGGTAGAGTGCTTGCCTCACATGCACAAGGCCCTGGGTTCTAATACTAAGCACCACCAAAAGCAACAACAACAACAAAATAAGAGTTCTGGAGTATTTAGGGAATCCAATTTTATCAAGGTAATTTGTAAGTGCCAAAACTTATTTCAGTCTTAATATATTATTCACAATGTTGGACTATTTATGTCTAACAAAATATTTTTAATCAGTGACTATTATGATTGTAGTAAATTTAGGAAAGGCAGGCTTAGCCATTTTTCTCTATTAAATTTAGTTACCTCTTTAAGATTGGAGGCTATAGCTGGGCACAGTGGTGCAGGATTGTAATCCCAGCAGTTTGGGTGGCTGAGACAGGAAAATTCGAGTTCAAGGCCAGTCTCAGCAATTTAGACAGGGTCTAAGGAATTTAGCAAGACCCTATCTCAAAATACAATATGGAAAAAGGGCTGGAGGATGTGGTTCAGTGATTAAGTACTCCTGAGTTCAATTCCCAGAACAAAAATAAAGAAAGAAAGATAGAAAGAGAGAAAGAAAGAAAGAAAAGAATGAAACAAAGAAAGATAGATAGATAGATAGATAGATAGATAGATAGATAGATAGATTGATTAGAGGTTCTTTTTGGTACCAGGAATTGAACTCAGGGGCACTCAACCACTGAGTCACGCCCACAGCCCTATTTTGTATTTTATTTAGAGACAGGGTCTTGCTGAGTTGCTTGGAACCTAGCTATTTCTGAGTCTGAGTCTGGCTTTGAACTCACAATCATCCTGCCTCAGCCTCCCAATTTGTTGAGATTACAGGTGTGTGCCACCATGCCAGGCAAAGCTATTTTTTTAAAAATTTTCTTTAGATTTTTATCTACCTGCTGTTATTGTTATTCGTTTCTGTTTCTGAATGGAAAGGGGAATAGCAAGATGGAGATGGGACCTGGTGACCCTGGGCAGCAGCCTTTCCTTGAGACATCTCCTCCACCAGCAAGACCTCAACTTCCTCAACTTTTAAGTAAGTCTTTAGAATGTTTTATATTTTTAGGCAGCTAAATAAATTTTTCCCCTTGTCTTTGGATATTTCCTTAGCCAATTCCTGTTGTTTTGTGGTGCCTGTTTGAGCATTTCTGGTGGTCCTTTTTATGCAGCCATGTCCTCTTCTAGGACCACCCTCTTGACGAAATTTGGGTTTGCAGCAACCCCCAGTGTGCAATGACAGCTGAATCATTTGCTAAGGTCATTGGAAGTTCTTAGTACTGAAGAGAGACTAAGATGCACATTTACATTTCTTTATTTTCCTAAAGACTTCTGGAAGAGGTGACAATAAAATAGTCCTGCCTTTTTAACTGAAGACCTTGCCACTGCACACCAGGTGTTGGCATATAGGGGGATAGGTGTGGGGATAAAACAAGAGAATGGGTAGAAGTTGCAGGGCCACTGCAGACAAATAGTTGGCAGCAAGTCCCCAGAGATGGGAACGCATTTCTACCAGGATAGCCACTCTTGTAGTAGAGCCCTGGAAATGAGGAGAATTTGAAAGTGTTATTTCAGTCGGGCAGGACACTGAAGAGGGGAAAAAAAAAAAGACTGAGGACAAAGCATCAACACACACACACACAATACACATGCACACACAGAACACACACACACACACAATACATATGCACACACAGAACACACACACAAAGTGAAAAGAATAGTTTTTATGACTTTGAAATCCTAAAGAGAGCTGCACCTCTTGCAGGAGCATCAAGATGAGTGCAGTTTTCTGGGACATGCACGCTCAACCATCCCATGGGGAGCAACAGAAATAGACAGAGGCCTAAATCCAAAGTCTTTATTTTAGTTAGGTCCCTGGTTTAACAGAGGCAGATTTCCTGAGTGAATCTGTAATTGTTTAAGGTATACAAGGCTATGTGTGGATGAGTCAAGTAGGTTGTATTAGAGTGTTCTTTAAAGAGATGGTTACTAGGAAATGGTTGTATAATGTAAATTTCAGTAAAAACTGGGAAAGGAAGAGAATTGAAAACTGTGCTAAGGGTATCTAAGCCCTATTTCTGGTATGGGCCAAATCAACTTAAATTTAAAATGAAGCCAAAACAATCTAAAATTACAAAAATTGGCCAACATATTGTTTTCCATAAGAGCTGCACGATTTTTCATTCGTAGCACCTATGCACAAGAATTCCAATATCTCAGTCAGGTTAGGTGGATGGCAACAATGAGGAAGGTTGAGACAGCCCAGTGTGAGCAACTTAGGGAGACCCTGTCTGTAAATTAAAAATAAACAGGGCTTGGGATGTAGCTCTGTGGTAAAGCACCCTGAGTTCAATCCACAGTACAAAAATAAAAATAAGATAGAATTCTAATTTCTCCAATTTTTATGAACAATTGTTATGTTCTTCTTCTCTCCTTCCTTTCTCTCTCTCTCTCTCTCTCTCTCTCTCTCCTTTTTTTTTTTGTTAGTGTACTTGTGTGTACGAGGCACCATGATGTGTGTGAGCCAAGATCTCATTGTCATTTTGTTTTGAATTTTCCTTAAAATGATTTTAGTATTCTTTATATTGAGTCTCTTCTCATATGCCTATTGACCTTGGGTGTATCTTTTTTTCAGAAACATGTATTCATGTCCTGTGTCGTTTAAAAATTTTTTTTGGTGATTCGTTTTTTTTGTATGTCCTTTTTAAAAATCACAGTATTTTGTTGTTGTTTATTTGTAAAAGTTGTTTATGTTTTTGTATTTTCAGAGTTTGTCAGATATGTAATTAGAAATATTTCCTCCCATTTTATAAGTTGTCTTTTCATTCTGTTATAACCATTGATTCACAAAAGTGAGACATTTTGATGTCAAACTGGATCATTTTTAGTTTTTTTTTTTTTTAGAGGGACTGGTTCTTTATTTCAAAAAGACACTTGTCAATATTCAGTAT